GAGAGATTCGCGTTCCAGCGGATGATGTAGGACGTAGGCGTAGAGTAAGGTTCGGTGAGAATATGCTAGTCTCACGAGAACCACGATTTTGTTTACAGGAGCAAAGGAAGCGAAGTTTCCTATGTTTAGCAAAGGAAAACCAGTCTCCTCTTGGATTATATTGAAATCCTCTGACAAAAAATCCTTGTTTTTTACTTCTAATTTGTGACCAGTGTTTTGTTTTGATCTCTCCTCTGCACTTCTGCATTAGACACTTCTCACCAGAGCTTACTCTGCGCCTATGTCCTACGTCATCTGCCGGAACACATTGATTCACTTCACGAGGCCTTTGTTAACCCCCCGGAGCCACGTGGGACACTTTTTATGATGGATGGATGCACTTTATTGCACTTCTTTTGGACTATTGAAAAATAACACCCATTCACTGCCATTATAAAGCTAGGAAGAGCCAGGACATTTTTAAATATAACTCCGATTGGATTCGTTTGAAAGAAGAAAGTCATAAACACCTAGGATGCCTCGAGGGTGAGTAGGCCTAAATCATGGGGTAATTTTCATTTTTGGGTGAACTATCCCTTTAAGGACCAATTCTCACTATTAACTAGTTGCTTATTAGCATACATTTTACTAGCATATTGTCTGTTTATTTGTACTTATAAAGCACATGTTAATGCCTTATTCTGCATGACCATATTTTAGATCCCTTAATCCTACCCCATACCTTAACTTAACAACTACTATTAATAAGTAGCAAATTAGGAGTTCGTTCAGGGAAAACTCTTAGTTAATAGTGAACATGTGTTCCCTATTCTACAGTGTTACCAGAATTTTTTAGTAAGTTTCTGTGACTGGAAAGAAATGAATACATTTATGAAAGTAAATACATTTATAATGTTAAATACTGTAAATGCTGTTCTTTTGAACTTTCTATTCATCAAAGAATCCTGAAAAAACTGCATCACAGTTTTCACAAAATTATTAAGCAGCACTGTTTTCAACAATGATAATAAGATTTTTTTGAGCATCAAATCAGCATATTAGTATTATTTCTGAAAGATCATGTGACACCGAAGACTGGAAAAAAATTTCAGCTGGCTGAAAATTCAGCTTTGCCATAGGAATAAAACACCAATAATTTAAATATACACCATTATGTTCAACTGAAATAATATTTCACAATATTCAAATTTTTTACTGTATTTTTCATCAAATAAATGCAGTTTTGGTGTGTATATTTTTTTAAATATATATATTTTAACAGTAGTCTATGGAAGTATGACGTGCCAAAGACATACTGTCTCCTAACCAGTCACAATGTACCAGGTCTGCAGTGTCAAGTTACCTTTTTGTTATCACTTGACGCTACGTACTGCCCAAAGATACAAAACAATGCACTAAAATATCCAGCGTTATGTGTCAAAAATAGAAAATGTCTGACAAAATATCCCAAGATATCAGATCAACATGAAAGAGATCATATACATTTATCACATCTCTCCTGGTTAGGGACAGTTTGCAAAGTGTCTGAGACAGAATTCTGAAATATTTGGGACATAGTCTGTGCCATCACATACAGTTCACGGCTCTGATTAGCTTGTGCACGTGTTTATCAGACATCGAAAAGAGCTCTGAGACCGTAGCGATGCCATTCATCAGTGCACACTCTGCTGTCGTTCTCTCAGGGGAGAAAAGGAACAGCTGAAATAAAGCGGGCTGCCATCACAGAAGGTGTTCTGGTCCCAGCTGTGTCTCACAGCAACAATCAAATTAGTCATTCATCCCTCCCTAAGAGAAGAACACACTCTCTCAAACACACATACCAGATGGCTTTGCAAACAGACAGCAACAAGTTCCTTCCGCACTTCTGCTGATGTGTCCAATTGCAGGCTAAAACAAGTGTGAAAAGCTAATGCGGCTTGAATCAAATGCCTGCCCAGGAGATTAGCTCACTGCCTCATCAGCTCATGGAGAACAGAGATACCAACACATCCCTCCACCCTTCTTTCAATCCTCCCTTCCAAAACAAGTGATGATAACCAAATTAACATTTGCTTTTATAATGAGATGCAGCAGTATATTTGCATCTATGTCTAGCAGATAACAAAGAAGTTTGCCAATTTTCATAATTAGCATTTAACAACTTGTGTGAGTGTGCTAGGATGCTCTGGAAAGCCACATTCCCACTTTAAAGCTTTTTAAATAGTAAGTAAGATGATTAGTTCCATACTATAATATACCATAACTTTGCTATTATATAACACTTCATGCTCTTTAGCAAAATACATGATTATTTCAATGCAAACGAAGAGAATATTTTGCTAGGGGAACAACAAAGATAAGAAATTACAGGTCCACATCCTGCTGGCTTCGGGGAGTTTGTGTGATTTTATTTGCTGTAGCAATCCCTTGCCAAAACGATTTATTTGCGACAAAATGAAAGTTAATTGTTTCACAAAACACAATACTTCCCTGCTGAAAAAACAAAACAAAAACAAAACATTTTAAACCAGCCAAACCTGGTTTGCCGATCTTTTTGCTGGTTTTAGAGGGATTCAGGGAACTTTTCAGCTGGTCATGCTGGGGGAATATTTTAAATTAGCTTAAACTATCATAAAAACCACCAGCTTAAATCAGCCATGACTAGCAAACCAGGCTGGTTAAAAAGTTTTTTTTTTCAGCAGGGTTTTGTAAGAGGTACCAGGCTAGCTGCTCAACGCACAACTATATCCAGCAACTCAATTAAATTCCATTCAATTCAAATTTATTTGTATCTATTTCACAATATAAACTGTTTCAAAGCAGCTTTACAGAAAATGCATGTGTCTACATTACAGTTTAGAGTGTTCTGTTATCAGAAGTGAATGTGTCCAAGTAATGTTCATTTCACAAATGAACAGTTCAAACAGAATCATACAGTTAGCTAACATGAATGAATTTAATGTGTTGGTAGACTACATAAATATCTAAGCTATCACCATCTTAGTTTATATCCAAAACCGTTTCGCTGAATCATGAGAATCTGAATCAAGACTGGCATAGATGGATGGAAGCCAATAGTTGGAGGATTGTTAGTCTATCATAAATTGCTGGGTGTAAATCCATCTGTGTGACCTTCTATACCTGCAAATCCAGAAAAACCACCTGAGATATAAGTTAGAGAAAACAGCTGCACAATTTTATAAAGAACTTCATCACCTTCTGCCACTCACATGACTTTCAGAACAAATAATACTCAAGATTATAATTTTTGAGTGTTTTATTTATTTGAGTGACTGAAATTTTTAGTTTGTGCCTGAGGCTGCTGAATAAGAGTAAATCCACTGTTACTTACAATGAACAATCCGGGGGCATTGTGGGAAATTCGATGTATTGCTAGAAGGTCTTATTAGAGAGTTTGTTTATACAAAAGCTTCTGTCTGTGTTTGTATGTTTCTTCACATCTTACATTGCTTTGCAGGATAAAAGTAAAATTCATTATACAACAAAACATATAACTGTACCTTTAAAGGTACAAAATAGGTCCTTAGGGTACCCAAAAAGAGTCATGAAGGTACAATCAGATGTGAGAGGTACATTTTTGTACCTTTGAAATTTTACAGATCGTTATGGTTGTTGTCGCTTTAAGAATTTCCCTCTCTTGGCTTCAGTCAATTCTGAAGCGAGTGAATTTGCGTTCTGACAGAGTGTTTTTTGGAGTTTACAATTCTCAGGTAAATGCAGAATAATTTTGTATATTATTATTTTTACACATGTGTCGCCATGCTCTGTTGATTTTTGACTTGGTGTCGTGTACCCCTGCATGAAGCCCGCGAAAAGTAGACTAGCTGGTGTACGTTAGCCCAGGATGGAGCTGAGGAGACGTGTACAGCTAATTTAATTTTGTAAAGATGTCACAGAAGAGGAGAGGACGGTGTTTTTGACGGCAAGTACGCTGTTAACGTTACATGTTAAAAAGTTAAGATAACTGAGTGTTTTCTCGAGGATTTTCTTGGTGTCACTAACGTTATATTTACACAGCCTCTCATGTTGTATTGCTTTAATAACTAGCGCCAACACTGCCTATATTTGAAATGTTTACCATTGTAATTAGTGATTATATAACATTTTATATTTTGAGACTTTTAGACCGCCGTTGCGAGTGTAACGACGTTTTGGGCCGCACAAATTTTACTCAGTGCTCTCACTCAGATTAACGTTATACACGGACATTTTGTGTTAAATTGATCCATCAAACGGCAAGCAAAAGATTAATAAAGTAAAAGGACCGCACGCAAGCGAATATGTATTTGTTAAAAAAACACTTGATGATATATTTGTGTTCTGTTACTTCACTGATGGTAATTTGGGCTTCTAATATGGAATTATGCATAGCTATTTATGTGTACACTATAGTCATTCATCAAGGTTAACGCTAAAATGATAAAGAAAAGGGTGGAGCACATATTTCAAGTAAAACTTGCTTGGTAAAATGTTGAAGTTAGTGTCATTGTTAATGTAATAATTTGTCTTTTCAGTATTAATAACTATTTGTACTATTTTATGTACATGGGACATTGCAATGCCTAATTATTACTTCCTCTTTTTTACCATAGTAATATCAGCCCATCAACAGTTTTTGAAGTTCTAAAGTTCCCTTTTAATGTTCAGGCTAAGTTGGACCAAAAGGAGTGCAGGCTTTCAGCAGCACATAGGAACAAAATTATTAGAACATTGTATGAAAACATAGCTCATTACAAGATGTAAGTATTTCTCATTAACTGTGCCAAGGTCTTAATGACTTACATTCAGTTTTAAACATTTAAAGCTGTACTCATGTGTTTAAAATATTTCTGCAGGTCTTCAACTAATGAAGAGTATGCTCAAATGGCTAAGGGCCTGACTCTGAGGTACCCCTTTTTAAAAAACACGGATATGCAAGTAGACGGGGTTTCTTATAATGTCCTACCCTTGGTTCTGTTCATGCAGTTTATTTTGTGTAATTTTTTTGTTTGTTGCCCAAATGTTATTCTAAATAGCACACATGGTGCATGTCTCTGACACACAAGTTTAAATGTGAGGATGTTGAAGAAGGAAAAAAACTACAAGATTACAAGGCCTTTGGTGAGAGCATATTTTATCTTTTTTTTTTCTTTTTTTTTTTACAGTGCTACATGTAACCAGTGTATTGTTCTCAAATTTATCATTATTACAAACCTTTTCATTATTTTCATGCTTAGAAATTAGAAATAACTTGCTGTCTGATTGTTTTTGTGTTTGTCTATGCACAAGGAAATTGATGTTGTTGGAGAGAATGTTACATCAATAATGGGACAGGTAAAAGTCCTGCAAGACCAGTACAGAAGGACACAGCCAGATACTTGCTTTGTTGAAGAGTGAATAAAGAAGACCTTTGCCTGTAGGTGAAAGAAGATTACTAGTAAAATGACTGTTGAAGATGCTGTCAACAAATATCCATTCTTAAAGAGTCCATCAGAGGTTAATGTAGAATTATAATTCTAAAATTAAACTCTGGACACTGAAACTGTAAAAAATCTTCTGATTTACTTATGCTTGTGTTTTTCTTAACTATTTGCAGCTTCATCAAGAAATTGGTTTCCTGTATTAATCTGTTAATCTATGCCACCACTTTCAAGAAACATTGCGTCCAGTGTGCTACGGCTTGCTCAAGGGAAATCTCTATCAACGCTGCACAAAGAGGCTAGAGAGGAATCTTTCAGTGAAGACCATCATGGTAATTGACTCTTCAACTTTGTCCTCTTTATTAAGCCTATCCAATTCTATCCTTGGATGGATTTCTGCATATTTATTTGTATGTCATGTCTTGTGTTTCAGGAACTGTTTTAAAGCAGCACTTCTCATGTTGCCAGTCTTGTTCAGAGATTAGCTCGAACACTGCATTGTGCTTGGGAAGGTGAGCATATTGTTCTCTGTCTGACTTATATGTCTGTGATAAATGTTTTTTATAAATCTTAATGTATTTAATGTGCCCACATACAAATGGTATAATGTAATAATTATCTTACACTTTGTGTATGTAGAGTATTTTTCTCTATCAGTAAAATCATCTGCTGAGAAAAAATTTGACTGAGATAAAATCTGATTTGTGCTTTCTCATTTAGAGCAAACCATCTTCACCAAGTTTAAGTACAGGATGCCAGTGACTGAAGAACTTACTGTGGATGGTGACAACCCTCTACCTACTGCAGTTAGGAGTAATCAACCTCACCTTCAAAAATGCCCTGCCTGTTCTGTTTCACAAAATGCTCTTGGAGAATATTCATGATTGTCCAATGAATGCAGCACATTGGTCCTATTTATGCTTATGAGGCAAATTTTTCAATAACATGTGGTCTGAATGACTGTCAAAGAACATTTTCAAATTATGAAACCTTTAGATGTCATGTTTAACAAAAGCATAAACATACAGTGTTACAATAGACTGTGATTGATGATTCTCTACCTCTGCTTGTGGAAGTTAAAGAAGAATGTCATAAAGAGAGAATGTGAGAATGAATAATGGATTGTACTCTCTCCAGGTGAGGAGGATGATTATCAGGCATTAGATACCTACAAAGTTATTTATAAGCACTAGGTATTCTTGCTGAAGACAAACAGCTTTATACTGTAAACCTCAAAATGTGCTGTACTTGATGTAGCCTATTTAATAAGGTTTACATCAATGTTAAACAGTAAATTTTTATTTGTATTTGTCCAACTGAATTTGTAATTACTGTACAGTATAAAATAGGGGTGGGCAATATGAACAAAATCTTATATCACTGAGTAATTTTATTTCATGAATTTTATTTCATAATTCTTGTCACCAGTGTCAGTATCACAAAAAATTAATATAGCCTGAAAAAAAAAACCCCCGAGCACAGAAACATGAGCGTGTAACACCAATAGAGACAATAGTCCAAAATCTCTACTGGTTGACAAATTTCTTCCAGTTAATCGTGTCTACTGGTATATCGCCCACCTTAGACAATTTTTTGTTCTCCTATTAAAGGTTTTATTGTTTTAAATGACTGCTTTATGCTTATGAGTATATTTATTATTGAGTCATGTCTGATCTGTTTTTTTGACACTTGCTGTACTAAGGTGTGATGTAATTCATTCTCTTTGTAAAAATAAATAGAATTGCATAACTGTAAGTCAATTTCTGAAGTATTATTTATTTATTTATTTAGCCTCCCCAAGGATGAAAGGTACAATTTTGTACCTTTGCAATGTGCACAATTGTTCCTTGGGGTACAAAATCGGCCCTTAAATGGTACAATTTTGTACCTCTAAGTAGAGGTACAAAACAGTACTCTTTAGGGTACCACCCCAGTGACGGCCACTTGTACCCTAAAAGGTACAGCTTTGTACCTTTCTTTCTGAGAGTGTATACTGCAAAGTCCACAGGAGTCTAAAACACTGTAATCAATTAAAGGGGTCATATGATGCGATTTCAAGTTTTCCCTTCTCTTTGGAGTGTTACAAGCTGATTGTGCATAGATAAGATTAATAGAACTATTGTAACTCCTGTGAGGCCACTAGAAGGTTCTGGGGAGAACTGTCCTTCAATCAATACTTCCTTTAAAGGACAAGTTTGAAAAAGGGTGAAATGCTCTAAGTTTATTGAACCGTCTTTCATTAAAACTGTGTTTTACAGCAGGACCAGTACATGGATAAGACTACCTTCACTTTGAAAGTCCTTTGAGAGAACTGTGAAATTGTTGAATTCAAAATAATTACCTTTTTGAACAATTTGAATGGTGTTCCTTTTTCAAAATGACAAAACATGACATGTATGCTTATGTTTGAACAGAAGGTAGAAATAGACAAGCTAATAAAAAGAAAGGTGCTGGCCTCAATCTAACACGCAGCAGTGTGTACACTTGGAGAAGGGATTATTTGAAGTATTAATTGAGGTTGTACAGTTCACCCTGAAGGACGGATGACTTGCTGTCCTCCCTCATTAGTCGTGTTGACTTTCCACACTCGCAGAGCTGCTGTCTATCATAGCACAGTGGACTAAAGAAAAAAACACATTGTCCTTCTGAATCACACTAGTCCCAAACTGCAAAGGAACTGAAGCAAAAAAAAATAAAACAAATTCTGAAGGCTCTATCGTGTGACCTCAAATCCCTGAGGACAAGTATTAGCTGCATTATGTGAGGTGCAGTGATCTGTACAGTGGATTGTGAGGTTCTGTGCGTATCGCATAGGATAGAAAACAGACTGTCAAAAAAAATAACATGCGTTTTTTTCTTACTATTAATTAAATCTGGATGGCAAAAATAGGTTATCTACTTTTGGATGCAATGACATGACCCCATTAGGTATAATTATGTAAAATCACAAACTTTGGGCCATAATCAGCATGAGCACATGGAAATAGCACAAAATGCTTCTTTATACAAGAATACAACAAACCAAAAACCAGCTCTACTGTCAAATAAATGTTATTAAGGCTGATCCAACTTGTGGTTCTGGTGGGTGGGCATTATACATTTACATCTATGAGTGCCAATGGAAAAATCCTGACTAGTTTATGATTCAACATGGTGTAAATAATCATAATCTGTATATTGAAAGTGCGGAAAGATTCTTTATGATACCGGAGTACGACTCCATTTGGGCCACAACCAAGAATTCACTGAAATTGTGAAATATTTTGTGGTTTCATGCTCTCTAAACCATCAGGACCACAGAGGTTGCTCTGAGACCACTCGCAAGTGATTTCACTTGTCTAACAGCATTCTTGAACCTTTCCTTCGCTTAGCCAACCACAAACCCAGAAAGGGAAAACCATGTTTAGAGGAGAGCAAAGGATCCATCCCAAATTCATAGCAGTATGTCAATAAAAGTTAACTTCGCACACTGTCATACTAGAACTGATCCCAGTAACCCTGGATGAAGTAATGAGAGGGAAGATAAGGGGAACAGTTCATAACACTGGCAGAACACACTACATATGGACTCAGGGCATGGCAAGAAAAGAGGACCACATGCTGTTTCTGCATGCCTGGCACACTGGCCCAGCCACACTGATCCACACCAACATGGTGTAAGGATCTGTACATATGTTATCAGACAGGCAACATTTTGCATATCTGTCAGAAGATGTGACCTCAAGTCTCAGACCATCTCAAAGCCTCTCTGAAGACAACAAACTGCAGTTCTGGGCAAAAAGTCCCTTAGTCTCCATTGGGATAAAAAATCCAAAGACCAGAAACAAAAGAAAAATAAAATGAATGCATTTAGAAGAGCATCAGCAGGGCACAGACTTAAATGTGTTTTTCAATAGGTGACGTACATTTCAAGACAGCAGGGTGGCTGATACCTAATATAATATTAATATATAACAATAATAATTTAATAATAGTAAATGAGATTATACATTCTGATTGGCTGAGAATTAAATTGCTGAAATTAAAATTTAAAATTTTATACAACATTTACTAAAAATTCCTTCATTCCACAAATATTTAACATTACAAAACAGATTGGTCAATGATGTGACACCCACTGTCCTTTCTACTAATTTATTCAAAACTAAAAAATATATATATTCACTCATAGTTTATTGATCTTGAATCATTTACATATTTTTTCACAGGCAAAAACAATATATCAATAACATGTTAATAACAATGATATTATAATGAACAATAAAAAGCCTTAATGAAAGTATTACATTTTGCGGGAGGAAAACAAGTATATTGGGACATTTATTTATCATCAAAACTATTTCTTAAAAAAACATATCTACTTATAAATATATGTGAAAATCAAAGTCATGTGGACTAAAGAAACTTCTAATTTTAATGAAAACTTTGTTTCAAGTTACCTACAGAATGGCTAGTAAGGGCTTAATAAGCAGCAATGTGGCAACATGCGGATTTTCGGAGTGCAAAACTACTTGGTTGAGATGTTCTGTACATTATTTGAGGATTCGACTGAATGTTTGTCAAATTTCCCAACACGTCCATCATCTTGACTGAATAGGTCACCCGAGTTCAACCTGAGGTGCCAGGAGAGACAGGTGCCAATGGCAGTCGTTTGTCCCTCCTGGAAGCTCAGAGTGCTTTAGCCTGAGGCTCCACTACCCACAATGCCTCAGGTGAGAATGTAACATAGCAGCAACCAGTTAGGATGAAGTAAATCATTGCTGACATGATGTACATCCACACAAAGGGACACAGTCTGCTTGCTAAAATTGAACAATTTCATGCTTTGTCAGTTTTTGGATGAACACATTAAATATAGTGGAAAGAGATGGTGATGCTGGGAAATCCAATAGGGCTGAATTGGAAGTGAACTCACAGATTACTCACAAATAATAACTCAGAATTAACAACCCTGCCATATTTATACCACTCAATTACCAACAGCAGTCAGTTCGGATCAGTGCATACCTGAATACACAGCACTCAAGACCACAGTCCCTGGTTCAGAACCCGTTAACATCTCAAAATACAGAGGTGTGTGGAAATTAAACACAATAGTTTGTGACGGAGTTCCCCTTCTGAACCACTGTTAACATCACTGTTACAAACACACTGGCCAATGATGTGAAAATTACAGGATACAGAAAACAACAAAGAAAAAACTTGTATTTATATTAAAAAGTTATTAAATATCTTCAGTTCAGAAATTGTTCTATGTAGTCCTTCAGATGATCATACTGAGTCTGTCAATCCCCATGGTCACATTAAATGGGAAGAAAGAAAGTATAAAAAGTGAAAATACATTTTCTGCTATTTTTTGAGTTTGGAAAAAAAAAGAGGCTGTGAAAACTGGAT